ATTCTTCCTATAATGTGGTGACTAGAAGTATACACAGTTCTTCAGGTGTGGCTTAACCAGCATTTTATAAAGTTGCCTCAGCCAGTAAAAGCAGGTATCCTGTATAGCTGCCCACCATTGAGGTCATTGAAATAATCACGCTGCTGAAACTTGGGTCTGAAACTGCCCACTGGTCAGGAGCGCAGATACTGAACAGCTCCCAGCTCCACAACCAGACCTGAGGAAAATAAAAGAATAACCTTACTGTCCGCTATACCACCAATTTTGGTCTCACCTGCTAACCATGCTTCCTATATTCTCATCGGAATCGTTTATTTAAATGACCGAACACAATGTACCCAGCACCCATCCTTGTGGCTTACCGCTGGTCACAGGCCTCCAAGTTGAACAACAACCCTCTACCACCACACTGTATATCTTACCGTCAAACCAATTTTATATCCACTTGGCCAGCTCTCCCGGGATCCCGTGTAGTCTAATGTTACTAAGCAGTCTGCCAGGAGGAATCTTGCTGAAAGCTTTGCTAAAGTCCATGTAGACAACATTTACCACTCTGCCTTCATCCATCTTCTTGGTCACCTCTTCAAAAAACTCAATCAAATTTGTATGACACTATTTCCCACGCACAAAGCCATGCTGACTGTCCCTAATCAGTCCTTGCCTTTCCAAATGCATGTAGATCCTGTCTCTCAGAATCCCCTCCAACAACTTACCCACCTATGACGTTAGGCTCACTGGTCTGTAGTTCCCTGGCTTTTCCTTACAGACTTTCTTAAGTAATGGAATAACATTAACCATCCTGCAGTCTTCTAGGACCTCATCCATGGCTGTCAACGACACAAATATCTCTGCTAGGTGCCTCTCAATTACTTCACTATCTTCCCACAATTCCCTCAATGAAGGAAACACTTGAACAGGTCCTGGGGATTTACCTACCTTAATGTGTTTTAACACTTGCTGCTCCTCCTGTAGTGTGGACTCTTTTCAAGATGTCTCAGTTTATATCCCCGAGTTTCCCTAGCTTCCATTTCTTTCTGCATGGTAAATAGTGACATGAAATATTCTTTTAGGGTCTTGCCCATCTCCTGTGGCTCTACACATCTTTTAAGGAACCACATTCTCTCCCTAGTAACTCTTTTGCGGTACTTATACTTGTAGAATCTCTTTGGATTCTCCTTTACCTTTCCTGCCAAAGCTATCTCATGTCCCCTTTTTGCCCTCATGATTTCCCTCCTAAGTGTACTCCTACAGCCCTTATACTCCCAGCTGACTATACCAGACATATATCTCCTCCTTTTACATGAGGAGAACCTCGATATCTCTAGTCATCCAGTGTTCCCTACTCCTGCCATCCTTGCCCTTAACACTAACAGGAAAATGCTGGCCTCGAACTCCTGAAGCCATGCTTTCGAATCAGACTTATCAGAAGTCCCTTTACCTGCGAACAGCATCCCACAATCAACTTTTGAATGTTCCTGTCAAAATTGGCCTTGTCCCAATTTAGAACTTTAACTTGTGGACTAGAACTATTCTTTTCCATGACTATTTTAAAACTAATAGAATTATGGTCACTGGTTCCAACGTGCTCCCCCACTGACATCACAGTCACTTGCCCTGTGTTACTTTCCAAGAGAAGGTTGAGTTTTGCCCTTCTCTCGTACAATCACCCACATATTGATTGAGAAAGTTCTCTTTAACATACTTAACAAATTCCTCCCCATCCAAGCCCTTAACCCTATTGCAGTCCCAGTCTGTATTTGGAAAATTAAAATCCCCACCTGTTCTTACAGCTGTCTGAGATCTCCCTACATATTTGCTCCTCAATTTCCCACTATTAGGGGGCCTGTGCCTTAATTATTGCAGTGAATGTTTTTGCTTATTGGTTGCGTTCCTGCTTTCGATCCAGAAAGTACAGATTTTGTAGCTTGCTCCTAACAAACTTGTCAAGTAGAAACAGCAGTTCTAGTTCTGAAGTTTTGTTTCTCTTTATTGTTTATTTTGTCAACGCCTATTACAAACCTCTGTTGCTATAGCATTATTGGCTGCTACAAAGATGCTTTGAGCCACAATTAATAGGCTTTTAACTTCTCTATTTCTTCAGAATGTTCTCCATGGCAAGAGTGTAAAAATACGAACACACCCTTGAGTATTAAGGTCAAACAAATGTTGATAATCTTGTGGTGTAATGATAGTTAATGTAAAAGAAATGGCTGAAATTCAACCTTGAACCAGTGGAGGCCATTTTGCATGAAGTTGTTATATTTGATCATTGTTTTTACTACGTGACCCTGGGGTGGACAGCCTTGTGTGGTGAGGTGAGTAAAATTGACGTGAGTAGAATCATTGAATCCCCACAGAGTGGAAGCAGGCCATTCAACCAGTCAAGTCTACACCGACCCTCCGAAGAACATCTCACCCATACACAACCCCTACCCAGTCCCTGTAACCCTGCCTTCCCCTTGGCTAACCCACCTAGCCTTCATATCCTTGGACACTATGGGCAATTTAGCATGGCCAATCCACCTAACCTGCACATCTTTGGACTGTGAGAGGAAACTGGAACACCTAGAGGAAATCCATGCAGACACAGGAAGAATGTGCAAACTCCACACAGTCATTCAAGGGTAGGATTGAACCTGGGTCCCTGATGCTGTGAGGCAGCAGTGCTAACCACTGAGCCATTGTGCTGCCCCTACATGTGCTTTTTCCTGGATTTTACTATTACTTATCCATTTTGCTTCCAGAATTCACAAATCAGTTAGTCTTTATTTTTAGTGAGCTAAGGGTGTTAGCTCCAATCCCCCATTTGAAAGGATTGTTTCTTAACTTTAACCACAGTCCTGTCCAACTTTGTTTACTTTTTGTGACATGACTTACAAGGCAACAAGTAGAATTATCTTCTGTTGAGTTTGCTCGTGAACAAATTTGCATGAAGAGCATTTCTGGCCAGGTCTCCCTGACTTATTGTTTAAATGTTCAATGATTGATTCAAAACTGGCTGCACTTACTGCAATTCATTTCAGTTTTGAAAATTAATAAAATTTTGAATTATTCAAGAAGCTCAGTCAAAAACATCAGTATACTTGATGAAGAGAACGAACCAAGACTTGCATTTGCAGAACACTTTTCATAATCTTGGGACTATATTTCTTATAGTGAATGAAGTACTTTTTGATGTGTAGTCATTATTATTGTATAGGGAAGGAAAATGCAGAGTACTTACCAGCCCTGATAACCCAAAAAGCAAGCAGTCTCCAATGTGCCAACTGTTTGTTTGAACCTACATCTCTAGTACTCTATTGGTTAGTCATACTTTTGCTGTATCTAACCTTTAGCAGCTCAGCAATGGTGTGCAGTGTCGTGAGATAACAAGGTGGAGAGCTGGCTGAACACAGCAGGCCAAGCAGCATCAGAGGAGCAGGAAAGCTGACGTTTTGGGCCTAGACCTTCCTTCAGAAATGGGGGAGGGGAAGGCGGCTCTGAAATAAATAGGGAGAGAGGGGGAGGCGGATAGAAGATGGATAAAGGAGAAGATAGGTGGAGAGGAGACAGACAGGTCAAAGAGGTGGGGATGGAGCCAGTAAAGGTGAGTGTAGATGGGGAGTTAGGGAGGGGATAGGTCAGTCCAGGGAGGATGGACAGGTCAAGGGGACGGGATAAGGCTAGTAGGTAGGAGATGGGGGTGGGGCTTGAGGTGGGAGGAGGGGATAGGTGGGAGGAAGTTCAGGTTAGGGAGGCGGGGACAAGCTGGGCTGGTTTTGGGATGCGGTTGTGGGGGGGCAGATTTTGAAGCTTGTGAAGTCCACGTTGATACCATTGGGCTGCAGGGTTCCCAAGCGAAATATGAGATGCTGTTCCTGCAACCTTCGGGTGGCATCGTTGTGGCACTGCAGGAGGCCCAGGATGGACATGTCGTCTGAGGAATGGGAGGGGAAGTTGAAATGGTTCGCGACTGGGAGGTGCAGTTGTTTAGTGCGAACCGAGCATAGGTGTTCCGCAAGGCGCACCCCAAGCCTCCGCTTGGTTTCCCCGATGTAGAGGAGGCCACAACGGGAACAGCGGATACAGTATACCACATTAGCAGATGTGCAGGTGAACATCTGTTTGATGTGGAAGGTCTTCTTGGGCCCTGGGGTGAGGGGGGAGGTGTAGGGGCAAGTGTAGCACTTGCTGCGGTTTCAGGGAAAAGTGATGGGTGTGGTGGGGCTGGAGGGGAGTCCGGAGCGGCAAGGGAGTCCCAGAGAGAGTGGTCCCTCCGGAAAGCAGATAAGGGTGGGGAGGGAAAAATGTTTTTGGTAGTGGGGTCGGATATGTGTGTAGTGTGCAGTGTCATGTTGCCTTTGCCTTAGTTTTGTATAATGGTTCATTACTCTAACAAATACAGGTAATTGATTTGACATCAGAAACATGGAATGACATGGGATGTTGCTTCTCCAGATCAATCAGTGACACTGCCATTTACTAAGATACCTTTAATCAACCCGGGCAGGCATGTTCAGACACACCTTTTGGAGCAGGTGGACTGGAACCCAGGCTTGCGGGCTCAGAGCTACAGACACTACAAATGTGCCACATGATCCCAAGTCTCGAACTGTTACTTGTTTATTGGCTTGTTTAATTCCCTCATCCTAAAAGTAACGTGTAGGTGAATTATTCATAACGTACTGTGAATCCACAATTATGAAACTTTTGCTTTTATTTTGCACTTGTAAAACACTGACGACAATTCAATTTTCTGATCGAGATTTTTAAAAAAATGCTTTTACTTGCTGCTTTATCTGCTGATGCTTATCTTCACCCAAGTCATCAGTTAGTCAGTCTTTGCTGTGTGAATATACCAAAGTACTATGACTCTTTGCTATGCTATATAAATAATAGGTGATAAAATTGAATTATGGTCTACACCAATATAGTTCAGTAGAATTTCTTGCACTTTACAATGCACTTTGAGCAAAACGAGTACTGCAGTTTGTGTTTGAATGCATTTATTTGTTTTATAGTTTCCATCTGCTGCTGCGTGTTCATGCTGTTCCTTTTCCTGTCAGAACTGACTGGCTTCATTGCCACTGAAATGTAAGTATGACACTCTGTCCCTTGACCTCTGTGGTTGATAGTATTGATTAAAACATTTCTTTTGAAGGGAAAAGCATAATGTATAAGGCCCAATTACAATGACCATTGTTCATTATTGTTGACTTTATGGGGGTACCAGAAGGCAAATGGTGTTTCGTTCACCATGATTTGCTTATTACTAAAAAGAATCATACTTGCCCTCCCTCCTTATTTTAGTTAGACCATCTATAGCAACAAGTCATGAACAAATCCCTGCTTCATATGTATTTTCACAAAAGATGGATGTGGATTTGGAAAAAGAGGAAGCCATTTTGTTCCTGGACCTCACTCTGCTGTTAATTGAATCCTGATTAATTTCTCTTAATCTAGGCAATGTGACTTTTTTCCATATCCCTTCATATATTTAATTTTTTTTTAAAATCAATTTTAGTTTTAAAGTGTTAAATTGACCTCAGCTTGTAGCTTTCTTTTGTGGAAGGTGGTCTTTATGCAAGTAATTTCTGGGCTCTAATTTTAAGTTCTATCCCTGATGTGCAAAATATAACAGATAACAGACTTTTTCAAACATTTTACAAAAAGTTCCCTCTGTAAAATGGCACACAGTCTTTTCACGTGTTAGCTATGGTCATCCTCTTACAATTTTTAAATTGTCCTTATGGAAATTTGCTACAGTACAATTGCTATGCATATCCAAAAGTAAAAAGGGGCCATTACATCAGCAATGCCACAACTCAGTGCGATTACAGCGCAACACCAAACATTTACGGAAAAAAAAAGAAGAAAGAGAGATGGAAAAATAGTGTCACCATATTCATGCTCCTTCCCTAGCACAGATACCATAAATATGAGCATGATGCAGCTATGTCCTCTTAAAAAGAAGTCTCCTGTATCAGGCTTTGGCAGTGAATGGAAGGAAATACAGGTGAGGCCCAATCTGAAGTTTTGAGATCTCTCTGATTCTGGGTAGACATATCAGCAGGCGTTCAGCCATCCTTAAAACCATGCTGTTCCCTCTGCTCCAGAAAACCACAGGCCAAAAGAGATTGCATTTTCTGCCCTTTCTCATGCAGTGAAATTTGTGCCCAAAGGCCTCTTGCTGTGCAACCACAGCTCCCCACAGTGACTGTCATCTTGTAAGCCACGTAGTCACAGATCAGCTACTGACTGAGAAGACCCAGGGATCAATGCGGGAGGACGTTGGCAGCTAGACGACGGAACCACTTGATACTGTGATCTCAGTTGACATGGCTGGGTTGATCGCATTCAGTTATTTCAGAAGCTGCATCTCTCTATTTATGCAGGACTCTCTATTGTACAGCCACCATCTTAAAATACTACCACAATAAAGCCTGACGGTTAGCTGGTCGTACTGCCTCAACCAGGGAAGCCAGCTGAACTGCATGCCAGTGAAGCAGTGGCAGGGCTTTGGCAGACTTTTGCCTGAAATCAAAACCCCTGGGATGTAAGTCCCATCTATCGTGAGCTACCATAATGAGTCAGAGACTAGCAGATCTTGTTTGTAGCAACAGCATCGGGGAGGAGGCTGAGGCTCCTGATGTCACTGCCCTCCCTGGAGTCCCAGGACTGTGAAGGGACCAGGGCAAATGTAAGTTGGGTGGGGAGGGTGGGGTGTTGGTGGACAGAGTTTGCCGGTTGTGAATTGTAGGAAGAGGGGGTGGGCAGGGTATTGGTGATTCCTAGTGAACAACCCATGCATCATGGAGGAAGTGGACATCAAACACCGCTGCCTTTGACTGAGGGAACCAGCCCCCTAGCCTGAGGTGACCAGCTGTTTGTTGGCCTGCTGGTAGCAGGTTTTATGCCGATGGCAGGCTCAGGCTCTAAAGTGACTATAAATTGCCCATTTGAGGGCCTCAGTTGCCTGTGAGGTTGACCATAGATCTTCCTGCTCAGCGTATTTCTAGAGGAGGCAAGAAGGTAGTGGCATGTTGGTATCCTCCCTGATTTAAGTGCCCTGCCCACCTCCCAAGCTCACATCCTATGGGAGCAAATAATTCAACCCAGTTGACCTTCAAGCTTAGCAGTTAGGAGCATTTCCTAAACCTCACAACAAATGAATAAATATTGTGTGTTTTTTAAAAAAAAATATTCATAGGATATGAGCTTCACTGGCTAGCCTAGCATTTACTATCCATCCCTTAAACTGAGGGGAATGCTAGCCTATTTTAGAGGACAGCTAAGAGTCAACTATGTTGTCTGGAGTCACATGTAAACCAAACCAAGTAACATAGATTTTTCTCAAGGAGACATAAGCATACTTGGAATAATTGACAATGGTTGCCAGATTAATTCCACATTGAAATTACCAAAAAAATCTGGAATTAACTTTCACACAATTTACTATGGTAGGATTTGAACCCATGGACCCAGAACATAGCATGAATAATGTTACCAGTGCACTACTGCCTCCGATTACTGTGCTGGTTAGCATCTGGGGGGGTATCAATGCTGCAGCTTTCATGTGTTCCATTCTTTATCTTCATCCATTTAAGGGTTAATTTCATGAAATATTTTCACACACTCTTTATCCTTCTTACTACCAATGTAACCAGTGTGAACTGTAGATAAAAACAGGAGGAGTGGATGATTTCCTGTAATACTTCAAGGACAACTTTACCTCCTGAGTCCAGAGTCAGTTTCTCTTTGCAGGGACAATTTTGAAAGAAGTCAAGCCTGGCTACCAGGTTTGAGTGTGAGAGGAGATTAAAAAAAGTGTCTGCACCAAGTGATGACTGAAATTTTGACAGTTCCCATTTAACTGCCAAAGCATGGAGCAAAAGCTAATAGAAGTGTCCGTGGTGATTTATACATTCTCAAGAGAACAACAAAGCTCTTTAGAAATCATATTTTATTCCTCCAATTTAAGATTACAGTCTTATGCAGCTGTACTTTTTAAATGTTTAATTTGCCCCTGCAGATGAGAAACTGATTTGCCCTGAAGCTATACATCCTTTGCATTACATGATATCCACAAATGCCTTGAATATAGGTATCAAGTTGCTAACTGTTGCGAGATTCTTCACTCTACTTGAAATGCAGTCTTTTTTATTGTTTATTTTGTAGTTAGATTTTAGGGCCACTGTTGCAGTCCTTTCAGGGAATCTGTAATTTTAAATTTCATCTCTGAGTCTTCAGTAGCTCCCTTACCCACCATGTAAATGGCTCTTGTGTGCCTCATTTTTTGGAAAATGCTGCATTTCTTTCTATCCTTGGTGTCACTGACTGCAGCATTTAAAACATTTTCTCATCACCAAATGTTCTCAAAAATGAGCAGTTGCCATTTTATTACAGAGTGAATGAATTGTACGTGGATGACCCTGACAAAGATAGTGGAGGAAAAATTGAAGTGAATCTAAATATCAGTTTACCTAACCTTTCGTGCGATGGTGAGTAAAAGTCAGCTTACCCTTTCGTTTATGTCAGAATATGCGAAGCACCTAGGGCCAAACTTTTCTCTTTCCTTCAGAGTTGATTTCAAGCCTGTATCAGTGTTCTTTTATGAGGTGAGTGAAATAGCCCTTTTATTTTGAATGTTTCAACCAAATCTGTCTCTTACTGCTGTAGATTCTTTTATACTCATTCATGGGATGATGGCATCGCTGGCTAGGCAGCATTTATTGCCCATCCCTAATCGCCCAGAGGGCAGTTCAGAGTCAACCACATTGCTGTGAGTCTGAAGTCACGTGTAGGCCAGACCAGGTAAGGATGGCAATTTCCTTCCATTAGTGAACCAGATGGGTTTTTCCGACAATCGACAGTGGATTCAGGGTCATGATTCGATTCTTAATTCCAGATATTTATTGAATTCAAATTCCACCATCTGCTGTGGTGGGATTCGAACCCTTGTCCCCAGAACATTATCTGGGTCTGTGGATTAACAGTCCAAGGTAATACCACTGGGCCATTGCCTCCCCCTTATGTTCTATTCTCCATTTAAACTACCACTTTAGATGTGAAACCGTTCCTCATTTCGTACGTAAAATCAAAGTACTGCAGATTCTGGAGATCTGAATTTAAAAATAGAAAGTGCTGGAGAAACTCAGCAAATCTGGCAGCATCTGTGGAGAGAGAAATGGGGTGACGTTTTGAGTCTGATTAAGATTCCCCTACATATTTTAAGGTTGCTGTGAAATGAAGATTTTTAAAATAATGTTAACAAAGGATGAGGAAGAGCAAGGACACAGCATTGAGTTCCATGACTTCAGACCAAGAACATTGTCTTCCATTTTTGATTACACACCCTTCCCCAATCCACCACCTACCTCATATCTTGTTTGTGTTTTGATCTGAGCAGAGCTGACATATTTTCTGACATTAACACCTACCATTAACAACTATTCAATATATTTTCTCTACTACAATTAGCACTTCCTTTACCTTTTGCTTTGGGCACCATCACCATCTATTCTACTTCCCCCTCTTCGTGCTTTGTTGACAGCATAAAACCATCACTTTCCAGCTACCTTCAGTTTTGATCAAGAGTTATATAGAACTTAAAATATGAACATTTTTTTCTCTGTCCTCAAATGCTGCCTGCTCTGCTGAGTTTCTCCACCACTTTCTGTTTTTACTTGAAAGTTGTGTTTTAGTTTAGTTTCTGTAACTGATAAGCCCATTTCTCAGTTCACTCACTCAATTTTGCAATTAAAATAAACTTGAAGCATGAGCTCCTGGCTGCACCTAGCCCCTTATTGTCCTGTTTCTAGTGAAAGTCAGTTCAATTCCTCTTGGAACTCATCATGCATTTTTTAAAACGTTGTTACTGTTTACAGAACAATGTCGGGGTTTGTTGTAAAATGAAACCAAATTTTATAACATTGCCTGGCCTGCTTTCCAAGGTTGGTGCAACCAGCAGTGTCATGCAATTCCCTACTGTGTGTCCATGCACTACATATCATTTGTGCAAGTGCTGTATTGTGCATCCAAACGTAGCATGGGCTTTGGTAGATTTAAAAAAAACACACTCAGTGTGCTGAACCAAGTATCATCCTGGGGTTAAAGTGTTGTTGGGGCAGAAACTAGGAGCCAGTGGCAGAAAGAAAGGATGCACTCATTAAGAGATAGTAGGAACTGCTGATGCTGGAGAATCTGAGATAACAAGGTGTAGAGCTGGATGAACACAGCAGGCCAAGCAGCGTCATAGGAGCAGGAAAGCTGCCGTTTCGGGTTTGGGTCCTTCTTCAGAAATGGGGGAGGGGAAGGGGATTCTGAAATAAATAGGGAGAGAGGGGGAGGTGGATAGAAGATGGATAAAGGAGCAGATGGGTGGAGAGGAGACAGATAGGTCAAAGAAGCGGGGATGGAGCCAGTAAAGGGGACTGTAGATGGGGAGTTAGAGTGGGGGTTGGTCAGTCCAGGGAAGATGGACAGGTCAAGGGGGTGGGGATGAGGTTGGTAGGTAGGAGGTGGGGGTGGGGCTTGAGGTGAGAGGAGTGGATAGGTTGGAGAAAGGATGGACAGGTTAGGGAGGCGAGGACGAGCTGGGCTGGTTTTGGGTTGCGGTCGGGGGAGGGGAGATTTTGAAGCTTGTGAAGTCCACATTGATACCGTTGGGCTGCAGGGTTCCCAAGCGAAATATGAGGTGCTGTTCCTGCAACCTTCGGGTGGCATCGTTGTGGCATTGGAGGAGGCCCAGGATGGACATGTCGTCTAAGGAGTGGGAGGGGGAGTTGAAGTGGTTCGCGACTGGGAGGTGCAGTTGTTTGTCGCGAACCGAGCGTAGGTGTTCCGCAAAGCGGTCTCCAAGCCTCCGCTTGGTTTCCCCGATGTAGAGGAGGCCACATCGGAAACAGCGGATACAGTATACCACATTAGCAGATGTGCAGGTGAACATCTGTTCGATGTGGAAGGTGTTCTTGGGGTCTGGCATGGGGGTGAGGGGGGAGGTGTAGGGGCAGGTGTAGCGCTTCCTGCGGTTGCAGGGAAAAGTGCCGGGTGTGGTGGGGCTGGTGGGGAGTGTGGAGCGGACGAGGGAGTCACGGAGAGAATGGTCCCTCCGGAAAGCAGATAAGGGTGGGGAGGGAAAAATGTCTTTGGTAGTGGGGTCAGATTGCAGATGGCAGAAGTGCTGGAGAATGATGCGTTGGATCTGCAGGTTGGTGGGGTGATACGTGAGGACAAGGGGGATTCTGCTTTTGTTGTTATTGCGGGGAGGGGGTGTGAGGGATGAGTTGCGGGAAATGCGAGAGACCCGGTTGAGTGCGTGTTCGACCAATGTGGAGGGGAAGTTGCGGTCCTTGAAAAATGAGGACATCTGGGATGTCCGGGAGTGGAATGCTTCATCTCGGGAGCAGATGCGGCAGAGGCGAAGGAATTAGGAATAGGGGATGGCATTTTTGCAGGAAGGTGGGTGAGAGGAGGTGTATTCTAGGTAGCTGTGGGAGTCGGTAGGCTTGAAATGGATATCGGTTTCCAGGTGATTGCCAGAGATGGAAACAGAGAGGTCCAGGAAGGAGAGAGAGGTATCGGAGATGGTCCAGGTGAACTTAAGGTTGGGGTGGAAGGTGTTAGTGAAGTGGATGAACTGTTCGAGCTCCTTGTGGGAGCACGAGGCGGCGCCGATACAGTCATCGATGTAACGGAGGAAGAGGTGGAGGATAGGGCCAGTGTAGCTTCGGAAGAGTGATTGTTCCACATATCCTACAAAGAGGCAGACATAACTTGGGCCCATGCAGGTACCCATGGCCACCCCCTTTGTCTGTAGGAAGTGGGAGGAATTGAAGGAGAAGTTCTTAAGGGTGAGGACGAGTTCAGCTAAGTGGATAAGGGTGTCAGTGGAGGGGGACTGGTCGGGCCTGCGGGACAGGAAGAAGCGGAGGGCTTTTAGGCCATAACTCCCCACCTACACTCACCTTTACTGGCTCTATCCCCGCCTCTTTGACCTGTCTGTCTCCTCTCCACCTATCTGCTCCTTTATCCATTTTCCATCTGCCTCCCCCTCTCTGTCTATTATTTCAGAATCCCCTTCCCCTCCCCCCATTTCTGAAGAAGGGTCCAGACCCGAAACGTCAACTTTCCTGCTCCTCTGATGCTGCTTGGCCTGCTGTGTTCATCCAGCTCTACACCTTGTTATCTCATGCTCTGATTAAATTGGATTCAGCTATTCTTTTCTATTTTTTTGTAAATGTTCTATGAGTAAGCACTTATTCTGGATAGTATTTCAGCAAAAAGGTCCCTAATTGCATGAGACGTCGGGATATTAATTTCACTAGACAGTGAGTTAATGTAACCCCTTAGTAGAAAATGCCTCATTTCACACTGTTAGTTAGAATACTTCATGTGGGCAAAGCTGGTTGTGAATGACATCAATGCTTGGCATGATGGTTAGAGTTACGTCAGTGTTTACTGACTGGAGCCATATGATGTTGCCACAAAATTATCTTCTAAGCATGTGGATGTTGAAGCTTGTAAGTACATGCAATCTAGTGGGTCCTGTACTGCCTAACTCATCATCCAAAATTGCTCCAGAATTTATCTTAATTTGCACGTATGCACAGAGGAACTTGTGCAATTGTGTGGTCTCTTGCTGGTTTGTCATGATATCATTCTTCATAGTATTTGTATCTTTAAAGGCAGAGGTGACAGGGCTGCAGTGATAAGCTTTTGAAATTGGTTATATAAATTATTCCAGGGAGACCAGTAGATGTGAAATATATCTGGGACATGTGCAAAATCAATGTAAAATATACTAGAAAAGTGATGTATGCAGCAATAATACATGCAGAGCAAGCATTGTTGATCTGACTTGCTCAATTACCTCTTAGGAGAAAATCAAGTTCAACATACAAAGTATATATTTTAATATTTAAGGTAATTGTGGATCTTTTCAGAATGTATTATCTTTGATGCTCAAGATAGAATTATAGTAGTCTTCAAAGTGGTGTAAACAGACAGATAACACAATAGTCCAGAACTGTGGACAGGATTGGGAGTTGCATGCATCTAAGTCTCCTTAGGACGTATTTTCAACTTACTTTTTCTTTTGAGAACAAGAACATTAATCCCACTGCTGGAAAATGGCTCTTTTGTGCATAATATTAAAGGAAGATTTTGTCATTGTTTCCATTTTAAGTTGTGACAGTTTATGCAACACTATACTTCAGTCCAATTAATTGCTTTTGTAAGTCATTGGTAAGATCTTTGGGCCAAATTGCAAAGTTTGGTTCTCAAAACAATTAATTATTAGTCAACAATAGTCAGTCTACCACAGGCCTGAATTCAGTCTTGGTTGTGAGAACAAACAAAAAGCAAAGAACAACACAGCACAGGAGCATGTCCTACAGCCCTCCAAGTGTGCAGCAACACGTTTTGCCCTTCAATATTAAAACCGTCTTCACTTATAGGATCTGTATCCCTCTTTCACCTTTCTCTTCATGTATTCATCCAGGTGTGTCTTGAATGCTGCTATTGTGTCTACTTCCACCACCAGCTTTGGCAACGTATTCCAGGCACTCACCATCCTTTGTGTGGAAAAACTTGCCCCGCACATCTTTCAAAATACCAACCCCCCGCCTTGAACCTGTGTCCCCTAATAATTGACTCCTCCATCCTGGGGAAAAAGCCTGATACTTTCCATTCATAATCTGATGAACTTCAATCAGGTCGCCCCTCAACCTCCTGTGTTCCAGTGAAATAAAACCCAGTCTATCCAACCTTGCTTCATCGCTAAAATCCCCCATACCAGGCAACATCCTGGTAAACCTTTTCTGTACCCATATCCTTCTGGTAGTGTGGTGGCCAGAACTGGACACAATATTTGAAGTGTGGCCTAACTAATGTTCTATAAACCTGCAGATGTTTCTGCTTTGGAGGCTGACAATGTTAATAATTATTTCTAAATTTTCTTTTTAACCCAAATGTACTTGAATTTATCGGGGTAGTAGGGTGGTGGGGAACAAAGCCTTCAATGTGTGATCTTGCCAATGATTTATGTCAGTAGTTAACAGCTAAAACCCTTACGTGCTTCTTTATGCACTGTGGGTTGTAGCATTAATAATTAAATGCTGGTTATTTTAGGACCAGTTGAGTACTTACTTTCAATCAACCAAAACCAGACTTCAGAATTTCAAGTAGACAAATTGGTCAGAGTTATTTTGAATTGTTTTAGTTTTCTTTTTTAACAGCTTGCAATGTCTACTTATATTAAAACCTTTTTTTTTTTCAGTTGTTGGACTAGACATTCAAGATGAAATGGGAAGACATGAAGTTGGCCATATTGATAACTCCATGAAACTTCCTCTAAATAATGGCCAAGGCTGTAGGTTTGAGGGACAATTCAGTATTAATAAAGTAAGTTTGAAATCAAGACATCTTTGAGATATTTAAAAAAAATAAAACTTGAAAGACTTGCGTTAAAGTTAAGAAATTTAATGTTTATGTCCGAATATCACCTTGAATGATGCAACGAAGGAAAAACAAGAACTAGTGAAAAATTATGATTTTCTGTATCTGATATAATAGTTAACTCCTGTTATAATTGCTTCAGGAGCTTGGCTGGGGGGTGGAAGGTAATTCTCTACTCGTTTCCACTAGCTTTGTGCCAATATTCTAAGCCAATGGCCAAGCTAGAAGAAAACATTGAGGAATTAGAAGCATGATTAGATTGTACACAAAACCATTTATGATTGTGTTACTCATGAACTTCTGTGCTGGTTCAAGATTAATTTTGCCTGGATCAGGCTCTGTAAATAACTGGCCCAATCTCCAGATTAACCTTGAGAGATTCCTCTGAGAGAACTGGTTCGGAAATGTTAATTCTGATTTCTCTCCACTGATTCTGCCAGAGCTGCTGAGCTTTTCCAACAATTTCCGTTTTTGTTTCTGATTTCCAGCATCCGTAGTTCTTTTCATTTTTATTTGGTTCAGGAAGACTTTTTGAGCTCATAACACCAGGTGATGCATTTTTAAAAGGTTTCTCAAATAATTAATTTACAAAATAGACTGGCTAGTTTACAACTAAACTATTAAATGGTTCACTGTCATTATTGTATGCAGTGTTTGTTGATTTTAAATCTTGTTGCTCGCTCGCAGAAGATAGGATAGACATTAATAATAATCATTTCTGGTGATAAATCGATTTTCAGCTGTATTAGTAAAACTGCCCAAGTTAGCTTTCCAAAAGCAATACTTTTGATGGAAAGAGAAGAATGATTACCTTGGCTGCCAGAAGATTGCAAGTTATTACCATGCAAATTAATTTGGGTGGAAACTTTGAATTAAATTGTATCCACAGCAAACATATTTTGATTCCAGTTTCATGATTGCTCCCCAAGTGGGATCTCGGCCCTAGAGTGTAAAACCAAATTGCAACTTTAAGAAAGATCAACAAAGTCATGTCTCATACATAAGTCATGTGGATGACTTCAAATGGCTTTTTTAACTTAAGAGAGGGACCAAGGATGGGAGGTTTGTTCAGTTTAATACATGACCACAAACTGTTCCAAAAGCAAAATATCTGTAATGGAATTAAAAATAAACCATGTATGCTGCTGAAAGGCTTTCTAAATTATTAGATTTTACTGAGTTTGTAGAAAATGATAAAATTAATAGGCAGGAATGCAAGTGGCGAGCATGGTAAAGTTTGGAGAAGAATCTAAACAGGTTAAGTGAGTGGGCAAAAAAGCTTGGCAGATGGAATACGTTGAGAGGAAATATGAGACTATGCACTTTGGCAGGAAAAATAGAGGAATTGAATACTATTTGAATGGAGAAAGACTAAGTCAGTGAAGTACAAGGTAAAGGTGATGTAATCTTCAGGTAACAATGAGTGATTCTAAAATAGCTTACTGTTTGGGACAGCAATTAATTACTCATCATTGATTCTTTCTCTGATAAACCTCTATAAGTGATATTAGCTGCTAAATACAGATCTGAAACTGAAAGACAAGACCATGAGACGTAGGAGTAGAAGTAGGTCAGTTAGCCCGCTTTGCCATTCAGTTAGATCAGGGGTGATCTGATAACCCTCAACTCCATGTTGCTGCCTTTTCTTCATAACCCTGGTTCACTTATTAATTGAGAATCTGTCTCCCTCAGTCTTGAGTATACTTAATGACCCAGTCTCAATAGGACTCTGGTAAAGAATTCCACAGATACACTATCTTTTGAGAAATTGTTCCTTAAATATGTCTTAACTGTGCAGTTTCTGAGATAACGCCCTTTGGTCCTAGACACTTTCTTAAGGGGAAATAACCTTTCTACATCTACTCTGTCAAGTACCCCAAGGATTTTGAATGTCTCAGCAAGGTTGACTCCCATTCTTCTATAGGTCCAATCTACTCAACCTCTCCTCAAAAGGCAGTTCCTCCGTACCTGGTAGCAGCCTAGTGAACCTTGTCTGGACTGCCTCCAATGCAAGTATATACTTCCTTCGATAAGGGACCCAAAATGTTCACATTATTCCAGCTGGTGGTCTGACTAGTGTCTTGTATTGTTTTAACAAAACCTCCCTACTTATATACTCCATTCTCTTTGAAATAAAGGCCAACATTCCATTTTCCTTCCCTCTTCCCTGCTGAACTTGGATGCTAGCTTTTTTGTGATTCATGCGCAAGGATTCCCAAACCCCTCTGTTCTATTGTTGTCTGCAGTCTTTCTCCATTCAAATACTGTTCAATTCCTCTATTTTTCCTGCCAAAGTAGCCTCATATTTCCTCTCAACGTATTCCATCTGCCAAGTTTTTTTGCCCACTCACTTAACCTGTTTAGATTCTTCTCCAAACTTTATCATGCTCGCCACTTGCATTCCTGCCTATTTTTGTCATCCACAAACTTAGCTATAGCATATTCACTTTTCTCATCCAAATCAATACTATATATTTTAAATAGTTGTGGCCATAGCACTGATCCTTATGGCTCATCACTTGCAGGTTACCAACCTAAAAATGCACCTACACCTTATCTCAACCCTGTCAACTATTAATCAGCCAATTCTGTGCTAATACTAAAATACTACCTCCAATACCATGGGCTCTTAACTTATTAAGTAGCCCTAACGCGTAGCATCTTATCAAAAGCCTTCTGAAAATCCAAATTTATTACATTAACCCATTTATCAGTCCTGCTTGTTACCTCAAAGCATTCTAGTAAATTTGTCAGGTATAATTCCCTCTTTCTGGTCATGTTATGCATTTCTAGACGATCTGCTATTACATTCTTTAAAATTGACTCACACATTTTCCTGATAACAGAGTGTAGTCATCACACTAACCTAATTCCTGTCCCAAATGAAAAATACATTCCTAGAGTTAAAACTTGTCATTTCACCAGGGGTAAGCTGGCCCCAAGAGAACAGGATTAAGTCTGTACCTTCAGGAGGGGAGAGAAAAAAATGAAATCTTAGTCCATTGTAAATCCTGGCACAAATGAATCAGACTGATATTTCTCTCAGTATGTGAAACAAAGAGCAACATCTTGATGTCTCATTCTGAGATGGCGTGATGAGTATATATGATTCAGTGTCTCCATTTGAAGCCTCGTGTGACTTTGGTTATTGACATTTTTTATGACTTTTTTTGTATCACTTGTTTTGAACCAACTTGAATAGAATCTGCAGTCAGATGTCTGGCAAATGGAATTTCTGCTCTCATTGAGTAGTTGAAAGCTATCAAAATGGATACAGTACAAATTATATTTACCTAATCAGTAGTATTATGGTGTTAACAGCATTTTTGATTTATGCTTTTACTTAATACATCATTATTCAAAATAAAATTAATGAGAAATTCTATGAAAATTGAAACATACTCAATAGTCTTTTGTTTAAAATGATTTAGTTTGATTAAAAGTTGTCTGAAGTACAACAGCCCAGGTTCTATGTTAATGATGACAGTAGGGCCAATGGCTATTGCAGGGTAAATCAGCTGGCATTTGAGCTTGTACACTTTGGAATTTAGATGAATGAGAGGCGACCTTATTGGAACACCAGATTCTTAGCGGACTTGACAGGGTAGATGCAGAAAGGTTGTTTCCCCATGTGTGTGTCTAGGATCAGAGGCCTTCAGAATAAGGGGTTGCATATTTAAACCGAGAGGATGAAGGAGCCCTTTTCTGAAGGTAGTAAATCTGTGGAATTCTTTGCCGCTGACGGCTGTCGAGGTTGGCTCGTGAAGTATATTTAAGGTTGGGATAAACATTTTTAATCAGTAAGGGAGCTAAGTATTATAGGGGAAAGACAAGTAAGTGGAGTTGAGGATTATCAAATCAGTCATGACCTCATTGAATGGTGGAACAGACTTTGATGGGCTGAATGGCCTACTTCTGCTTCTACATCATATGATGTTATGGTCTTCTGACATCTGCATATGTGTAATTAAACGTGGAGATATGGAACTTGTTGTTGGGGGTGACTTGCTCTTCTGTAGATTGCATTGTAGGAATTCTTGCTGATGGATTTACATTGAAACATAGGACTTAGGAGCAGGAGTGGGCCATTTGGTCCTTTTGCGCCTCGTCCACTATTCAATAAAATCATGGCTGATCTAGTTGTGGTCTCAGCTCCACTTTCCTGACTGCACCCTCAACTCTTGATTCCCTTGTCTATCAAAAATCTAAATTGGCCTTGACTTAATTTAAAGACTCAGTCTCAACTAGGTTCAGGGGAAGACAAGCAATAGCAGGAGCTTTGTGATGCTTGCCCAATCGACATAACTTAGAAAGTTCGGGCTGGTGTGCATTCAGGAGCAAATAATTTTTTAATTGACAGGTACTGGAGAACCTCTCTGATTTCAAAAATGGAGTTCCATTCTTCAGAAGTTAATTAATATTGGAGGCTGTAACATATCAAAATGATCTCTCGTTACCTTTTTCTGTTATTGGGCAGTTGTCTGATATTTCAGGGGCAAGTGCTGTTCCTTTGGCGCTAACTGTGAAATCTGAGCCAAAACTTTTACTTAGATTTAAATGTAATGTTTTCTCCCTTCCACTCCACCCTTGTGTTAAGCATTCTGTATTTCTGTCCAATTATTTATTTTCATTGGTACATTAGGTGGAAGTCTAGGGATAATTTGTACTTGGCTAAGCCAATAAATATGTCTTTATTAGGTTCCTGGTAATTTCCATGTGTCCACACACAGTGCCACTGCGCAACCAGATAACCCAGACATGACTCACGTAATTAACAAGCTGACATTTGGTGAAATAATAGAGGTGAGTGCATTCTTCTACGTTAAAATCAATGCAGTTCTCAAAGCCTGATTAAAACCCTGCCCAAAGTGTGTGTTAATCTTTTATCGTACTTAATTGTTGGTATAAAAATGATGTTTGGAAGTTCTTGATCTACTTTTGTTTGAGTCTGAAACTCAGCAGCCTGGTTTTGTAATATTTCACCACTCATACTTTGCTGATAGATGATAGATTTGAATCATTCATGTATCTTTTCGCAAGGCAGTGGTTATGATCAGGTTCACGTAGTTCAATCTGAACAGCTTGCTTTTTCGTAATTTACCAAATTGGACATGCTAGGCTTCTCCGTATTAATGAGTCAGCCACCTTGATTTAAAACAATTTTCTAAGTCCCTTTGGTATATCTTTCCTCAACAGTTATTTTTTGTACCTCACTTCTTCACAGACTTTTGATTTGCTTTAAATTAAACTGGCTGAAATAAAATAACCTGGGAAAGGAACTAACTACATGGTAAAATTACTGTAACCGTGATTTTGTCTGTTAAATATTTCTCTTTTCCATAAAGTCAAACACTATTTCATGTTTAATGCTTCAGATGTTGTTCATGGATATTGTTACCTATGGTGGATGTAATTTAATCCATTTATGTGCATTGTACTACATGTTGGAAGAAAAATCAAGGAACATAATTTAAAGATATTAAATGAGAAAGGAGAGAAATGGAAGGAGCTGTGCTATTAATTGCAACATGCTCAGTGGGAAAGCCTGATCCTCGAGCCTGTTTGTGGAGCAGATTCTGATCCCTGCTCAGTGTTGACAGATTCTTTTCCCCAAGTCCATTGATGGGGAAAAGTCAAGCTCCAACCCAACAAGTGATGGTGAATTGGGAAGAAAGTTTCTGATTGGGAAGGAAGGAGAGAACACTGCAGCCCCATCTGACTCACAAACAGCGTCATAATGATATTTGTTTCTCTCTTAGACTCTCAACCTTGCTGTAGTTGATTGGTATCCTGAGGCCTGGAAAGTTTGTCCAGACCCACATATGAACTCAGATGGACACAGATAGCCCTGCAAAGCAGCTTAAATCTGAGGCTTTCAGTTTTCTCACATTTCAAATGGCAACCTGTAATGGATTGGCTCTCTACCCTTTGTCCCACCTCAGTAAGAGGTGGAAGTTGGCAAATTGGAGCTGACTTCCTGGTGTGCTTGGAAGTTTTGCCCATATAAGACTCCCACCTTCAACAATGAATCCTACACACCCTTCCATATAAACCATCACTACCCATCACTCCCCTACTTTATTTGAAACAGCAATGTTTGCACTATGTTGTAATGACTTGATAAAGGAGAAGAACACCCTGTGCACTGTCAGTTACCACAAGATAAATATGATGTTACATTAAACATGAAGAAATTATTTCTGAAGTCAAGCCCGATTTGTATGAAAATTACACCTGTTTAATTTCTTTAGGTTAAAAATGTTCAAGGTGCTTTTAATGCCTTAGCTGGAACGGATAAACTTAGTTCAAATGGTAAGTACCTGTACAAACTAACTTTTACAGATTCTGTTTAGATGTTTGGCTATCACTTTTATTTTACATACTTTATTGAATGAAACCTATGACAAGGGAACTACTTTTAAAGGAATAATTGGGTTGTGATCTAGTTCACAAGGTAATTTGAAACACTACTGAAATGTTAGTTTTGAATTATGTGAAAAGTTCACTTGAAATCACTTGCTCCTACAATCCGTGGTGCATTTCTGTGATTCATTAAAGGAGGCTGAAGATCAGGACTAAAAAATATCGAGAAACTAATGCACAGTAAAAGTAAAATCTGCAAATATTGGTAGAGTTTTCATTCCATCGAATATTAAATCTAGCCATTAACAATCAGTGATAACAGGATGTGTAATACTTTAAACAGGCTGGTTAGCTGTGTTGCCATTTTTATTTAAAATAGTTACTGGTTCCATATTTAACAAGAATAGGAACTGGTTTCTAAGGCCACGTTTGAGCAAACTTTCTAAGAGGAGGTGTATTTGGGAAGAATAGAATCATTACTAGCTGTTATCTTAGAAAATGGCAGCCGAAGTTTTGCACTGAAATTACTGAATAAAGTGTTAAGTCTAGAAGACTGTAAAGTACGTAAGTGATAGATCTGGTATTGTTCCTCAACTTTGTTTTGAGCTTCATTGGAACTGTGTTGAAGGTTAATGCCAGAGAGGTTAAAAAACAAATGTAGCAGACAATTAAAATAAGAGATAACCAGAATACAGAGTCATCACTGTAGACTGAATGGATGTGTTCTGTACAGCGATTTCTCCCCCCAGCCCCAACAATCTGGATTTCAACTCACCTTTCCCGAGGTGGTCACATTGTAAGCAGTGAATGCAGGATACTAAATGAAACAGAAATGCAACTCAATTGCTCTTTCATTTGGAAGGAGTGTTGGGACCTTGTGGAGAAAGGAAATAAAAGAGGTATTGCATCTCGTAATGTGGAAAGGGGTGTTGGTAGCATTAAGGAGGGGCTTGGGGTGTGGTGAGCAAACTGTCTAGAATGCTGAATGGGGGATAGTGGGTAGATGTGTTTTTTTTAATTGAGATTGTGTTAAAGGTAGCAGAAGTGGTGGAGGAAGATCCATTGAATGTGAAAGTTGGTGAGCAGAAGATGTGGATAAAGGCATCCTTGCCTTGTTTCGGGGAAAGAAGGGGTGTAGTGTGAGAAGTGTGTTAAATGGAATGGATATGTACCATGTCAGGCTCTGTTAACCACAGTTGTTTGAGGGCAGAGAAGTAAAGTTGTGTGATGGGAAATATACTGACTTGAGGAAAAGACATGAGATGCACTGTTTTGAATCATTAAAATTCCTACAGTGTGGAAAGAAGCCATTTGGCCCATTTGAGACCACAACGACCCTCTGAAGAGCGTCCCACCCAGACCCAGCTCCCCCATCCTGTCCCCATAGCCCCACAGTGGCTAATCTACTCCATCTGACTGTCCCCGGACACTATGGGACAAGTTAGCATGGCCAATCAACCTGGCCTGCACGCCTTTGGACTGTGGGAGGAACCCCACACAGACACCGAGAGAATGTGAAAACTCCACACAGACAGTCGCCCAAAATCGAACCCGGGCCCACTGAGCCACCATGTGCCCAGAAAAGTGACATTGCCAGAGCGTATGAGACAGATGGAGAAAATGGAAGAACAGCATGGAATGCTTGTAGAAAATGATGTAGGAGGGAGTACATTCAAGGTAGCTGTGGAGGTTATTTGGATACTAGAGCTTATACGGGTATGTGATCATTCCCCCAGAAATAGTGACAGAGACATCAAAGAAGAGAAGGGAAGAATCAGAGTTGGACCATATGAATATAATGGTAGGCTGGAAATTGAAATCAAAGGAATGCAATTTTCCCATTTAGGGATGAGAGCAGGAAATTACTGTGTTACAGTCATGAATGTACTGGAGAAAGAGCCTGAGTTGGTCCAGAACAAAGATGCTCCACATGTCTCTCAAACTAGTATGCAGAATTAGTACCCAAATGTGTTCACAAAGTTGCCCCTGTTTATTTGGAGGAAGTGGAAGGAATCAATACAGAAGTTGTCCAATATGACCAGAGGAATTAGGAACAGAAGTAAATAATTCAGCTCCTTGAGTCTGCTGCACCATTTGGTAAGATCATGGCTGATCTGTTTGTGTTTCGAATTCCACCTTGCCATCTATAATCTGAAAACCTGTATTCCCCTGTCTCACCAGAATCTGTACACATCTGTCTTAACAATATTCAATGATCCTATCTCCACTGCCATCTGAGGCAGAGTTTGAAACTCATGTATCCCCTGAGAGAAAACATTTCTCCTCTGTTGTCAAAGGGCAACATGTAATATTAAAGCAGTGCCCCTTAGTTCTCATCCATGGGAGGAAACATCCTTTTCACATGCAGCTTATCGAGACTATTCAGGATCTTCAATCAAGTCACCCTTCACTCTTCGAAACTCTAGTGGAGAAAATGCCAGCCTGTCGAACCTGTCGACATAAGACCTTTCTATCCACTCAAAACAGGTATCAATCTAGTAAACCAGCTTAGCCAGAGAACAAAAACAAAGTTGCTGGAAAAGCGATGCAGGTCTGGCAGCATCTGTGAAGAAAAAATCAGGGTTATTGTTTCGGGTCTGGTGACCCTTCCTCAGAACAGTTCTATAAGTTCTGAGGAAGGGTCACTGGACCCGAAACGTTAACTCTGATTTTTTCTTCACGGATGCTATCAGACCTGCTGAGTTTTTCCAGCAACTTTGTTTTTGTTCCTGATTTACAGCATCCGCAGTTTCGGTTTTTATTCAGCTTAGCCAGAGGATTGGGAACTGGTTGGGCCTCTATTCAAGGAAGAATTACAGAATTCTTGAGTTGACCCAGTGAGATGATCATGGTGAAAAAGCAATGATTAGGGCCTGCAAACTGGTATAGTGGTGGAGTGCATTGGAAGAGTCTTGGATGTTGGCCAGAATTGACTAGACGGGAGAAGATACGGTAGTTGTGATAGAAGGGAATCGAATTGATCTCCAGTTTTAATGTTGATTCTGTTCTCACAGATGCCACCTGACCTGCTGAAAATATATATACTGAGCATTTTCTATTTTTGATCCCAGCCTGGCTTTTCCTAAATGGCTACATTTAATTAAGGCTGTCTAAATTTATGAATGCTTTCAGATGGCTGCACCTGTTTTACTTCCTGTAAACACTGTCCATTGAATACAGTCATCGCTACAAATATTCTCAGATTATTTTTGCCTCATTTTAATCCCTTTACATTCCTTCTTTTCCCTCTGCACCTCTCCCATCCTTTCCACAGATCCCTTGGTTTACATCTTTCCCCATCATCCTTTTTCATAGAAGGTTCTTGCACAAGTTACAGACTTCTCTGTGTTAGCAAAAAACAGCACATGGCTTTTTTTCCCTTTTAAGAATAAGTTAAGGAGGATTTGGTTTTTTCTCTAGGGGAACTGCAAGACTTTGGAGCTGTCTTCCCCAGAGAGTGGTAAAGGTGGGGTCGTGGAATTTTTTTTAAGGTAGAGCTAGTTAGATTCTTGATGAATGAGGAAGTGAAAGATTATCAGGCTAGACAGGAATGTGCAATAGTTGGGGTTGAGGCCATAATTAGGTCAGTGGGCTTGAGGGGTTGTAAAGCCTATTCCTGCTCTTAATTCATATAAGCTGACAGTAAGGTTGTTTCTCACAGACAGAAACAGAAAGTCAGCATTTTCTCCTCCTCCTGCTACGTGTTGTTCAGTTTCCTGAAGGTAGCACATTCAAACCATTCACTTCTCCAATTTCACGTGGCAGTCAGTTTGTGTAAATCAAATTATCTGATTTAATAGACTTGAATAGTCCAGTTAATTGGCATTTGGACTAGATATTTCAAATCCTTTGTTAATGGTCCCACTGGCTGGTTAACAAGTTGCAGGGTCAAAATGGTGGATGATCAAAATCCACCAAATGTGGTAGGCTGGTAGGCACACACTGTCTATAGCTGCTGTAATCCTGCATGTATTGCTGTTGAATAGTTCATGCCACTGGGCTGCTAAATACTGATGTTCAAAATTGTATTTGCAGTGAATTATTATGTTGCCCTGTGTCCTAATTGAGAGAATGGCGATTCAGTCTTCCAAACAGTTTTAAGCACAAACAACTGAAGATGAAGTCCGCTGATTGGTTTTACCAATGGTAACATTAATGATCAATCAGGGAGTAGTTCATACTGTTTAGATGAAATACTGTTGACTGTTTGGGTGTGACAGTCACAAGGAGGTAAACTAAGAAAATACAATGTTACCTGAGCCTACGGCTATGCACTTTGTCAAAATATGATCTTTTTCACAAAGCTGAGAGGTTTGTTAGAACTGTCAGTGTGCTAATGATGGTAATTTACTTGGAGATTGCTATTCCTTGTCTCTTGAACAAACAACTCAAACTCTCAATTAACTTTTTAAATAATAAGTTGCAAAACCTGAAGTAAGGGCCATAATTTGATTCATGTCTGGAATCAAAGAGGTTTAGATAGTTGTTAATGATTGGTTTTGCACCATGAATAACTTGTTTAAGTTATTATATGGAGATAATATACAATAGAAGAATAGGAACAGAAGTAGGCCATTCAGCCTGTTGAGTCTGTCCTATTCAACATGACCATGGTTGATCAAACACTTCAATGATTTTTATTCACCCCATTCCTTTAACTCTGACTGAACACCGCTGGTAATCAGAAATCTATCAATGTCCACCTTAAACATATTCAAAGATTGAGCCTCCACAGCCCTCTGTGGTAGAGAATTCCGAAGGTTGGCAACCCTCTGAGTAAAATAATTTCTCCCTATCTGTAATCTGAGGAGCATTGCTCTTTTGTTTTAAAAGCTGTGCCTCTTGGTTTTATACTCCACCCAGGAGACAGCAAACTTGCATCTTGCCTGTTACCCCTTTTGAGTATTTTGTAAGTTTCAATGAGATCATCCCTCATTCTTCAAAATTCAAGGAAATACAGGCCCCGTTTGCATCCAATTTCTCTTCATAAGACAGTCCTGCCATCCTGGGAACAAGTCTGGCTGAGAACCTTTGTTGTACTCCTTCTGTAGCAATAAAATCTTTCCTCAGATAAGGAGAACAAAACTGCATGCGATACACCAGGCATGGTCCTGGCCAAGCTCCCGTACTAGGATTCCAGTTGAAAAGTCTTCTTAAGATGTCACAATGTAACTATTTGAACCTCATTGTTCTTGCGCAGCTCTAGCATCGCATGACTATGTACTGAAGATAGTCCCTACAGTGTATGAAGATCTAAAGGAAAAACAACGCTTTTCCTATCAGTACACAGTGGCACAAAAGGTAAAGTGACTGAGTTATAAGTATATGATTTTTATGAATGAAGGATGTGCTCCAATACAACTTTAATTAAAATTGATGCAGAATAAATACTGCTCGTAAGAGAGTAGCCAAAACAAGCTACATCCTTTATTATTGTTCTATCCCCCATATTCTACTTTCTTTTCTCTTTAAAATTTCCATTTCACGTAACCAATCTGTTTTTCATATAAAGTGATATTTATTTGCCCATCTTGGGACTGGAAGGTAATTAACTAGGCTTACATCCAGAAAGATAGAGCTGAGAGAGAGGTGCTGTCTTGAATGAGGTATCATGTCTTGGCTTTAACATTCTCTTACAAAGGTTCACCTTGACATTTAAGCTTCCATAACATTATTGGGGAATTCTCTTCACTCTCCCACAAAACTGGAGTTTTTTTGTCCATTCATCTCATTGCTCTTTTATAGGATTGTGCTGTGCAGAAAGTGGTTGCTGCATTTGCCTGCAAACCATTCATGCGATTTCACGCTAACTTAGCAATCAGAATCCACTCACCTACCAATTTGTATTCTCTTCCAATGCAGTGTAATGTTGCTTTCTCCTTGCATTACTTTTTCTTGCAACTTATCCTGATGAGAGCAAGATGAAAAACAATGGCACAACAGCTAAATTTTCCCAGCCACTGAGCAACACCAGTAATGGCAAATTAGCTGGGAAAATATCGTGAGTTCAGAAAAATGAAATTCTTGACATCAGGAAAATAAAGTCCAATTTTGTTTTAACAACCTTTGAATGGTGAGATGAGAATCTCATTGGTGAGCAGCAAAAGACTTATTTGCATGCATTTATGTCTCATTAGTACCAAATCTTGCCTCATTTATGTACAGTTTCTGATTGCCCCATGGGACGGAGAGAATGGCAACAATTCCCCACATGAAAGTGCAAGCAGGTGTCTGGAGGCTCCAGCTTGTCACTCGCTTCTCCAGGCCTCTTCCTTGGACAGCAGTCTCCAACACCTCAGGTTATCCTCCGAGGGCAGCAACTGTATGCATCCACCTGCCTGTGGAAGTCGCCGGCAGATATGCACCAGCCTTACTACATAACCACAGTCAGACTAACTTGGAATACAGTTCTCCTCTTCATTACTCCACTTTGAAGTGCACTGAGATCTTATATTGTGATGTGTGCCAGGCCATTTGGTGTGCTGGACAGGCACCCATCTCATGCATCAGAGCACCTTCGGACTCCTAGCTTCCTTTCTTAGCATCCAAGTCAGAGTGAATGCTCACAACATCTCCGCCTTGTCTTTTTGAGCTTTGCTGCCTCATTTAACCTTGCAGTCGCACAGTACTTCTGTCTTGTCTCGAAGCCAGGCAGCTTGTCATAGTTGTCAGCAGTGAACTGTCTGGCAAGTAGACATGACACTGCATGTGCTTCAGCCAAATGGCTAAAGCGTAAGATGACTAGCCCTCGAATAAATCATGGGAGGTGTTATCATTAGTCAGGAGGTGTCATCACAATCAATCAGGGGCAGCTTCCAGTCACGGTTCAGGGGCTTGGAGCAGTCAGCTGCTTGTGATGTTTGGAGTCAGGGGTTCAGTATCGCTACAGTCTGGGGAGTGGCCAACAGTCAGACCTGCAGGTCCATTGGATCCAGCCCAGGGATTTGGGGTAAGTCAGTCGGAGAGCTCCACAGAGATCACTTAGGGGTCCAGCCACTTTTCAGTCAAACTTGATGAGGAGGTTATGGACCTGCTCATTGGAAGTTGTGCTAGGTTATCAGGTGAACAGTTGACGTAAGAAAGTTGGGCAAATCACTTGTGGGGATTGGAGACAGTGTGCTGAGATTTGAAGGGGGTAGTAATTGTGAAGGTTGGTAACTCAACAGACAAGGGATGACATGATGGTGAATTGGAGGGCATGATTTGGTGGAAGGGAGTGGGGGTGAGTGGGGTGGAAGTGATGTGTGAGAACGTGTGATAGCTTCGAGCCGATGAAGTCAACAGAGACTGTAAGGAAGGAAGGATATTGTGAAGTTTGAGGTTGCGGCTGCAACCACTTTGAGGAACACGACAGGATTGCCGTCTGTTGTTATCCAAATCGCACGTATGCAATGGAAATGGAAAATGGCTGCCACCACAAACCGGGCAGAGTAAGTGTTCTTTTAAAATCAGTCTGAGCACATGAACTTGTGAACAATGCGTGGACGTTTGAGGGCAATTACATTAATTAGGCAGTTGCACAGGACAGAGTGAAAACATCTCTTATCATAATATCCTACATGTGAAATGCATGTAGTGTCCAACTGTATGGGATGCAAGTCCTGGCCACAAACAATCTTGACCACGCCATCAGTTTTGCAGATTGATCACGGACATCTCTGTAAGGCAGAAGTAATCACCATGACATTAAAAGTGGGCTATGGGCTACAAGTGTAAAGAAAATACAAGATCTCGTAGACTGCATAAGGACATGGAACTGATTTCCTCTAGCTTGAACTGTAAGTATCTATCAGCATCTTCTCCGTGTGGAATGCTGTGACCAATGGATCCAGCCACAATGGGGATTGTCGTTGCTGTCGCTGTGATACAATGAAGGTGCAGAGAAATAGAGAAGGAGCAGATGTGCCAGCAAGCTGGGAACCAGCAGCAACCTCGAGAGGCTGCTATCTCCGAATTGTGCCTTCTGCTGGCATGGGATCTGTGACCTCAAGGATGGGAGGCCATTCTATCCTGCTAGCTTCCTAGGCGACAGTTGCTCAAAACACTTATGCAAGTGGCTGTTTTCAAGAATCCTGTGGGGCCCTGTGTGGGATTTTTCAATTGTCCAAATAACATCATGCCATCTTGTTTCCATATGACGAGCGCAGTGCTCCGGCCCAGGTGGTATGCTGTGTGAACATAGGTGGTGACCCCAGGCACAGGGCACTAGAGACTGTACGCACACCATGGTGAGAGTGCCGTAAAATAACGTAGCAGACTTCATCAACAGAAAAGACATCCATTCCATCAATGTACTAATCATGTGTGATCATCTGTACCACCTCCCAGAAGTCTACGCCAGGGGTATGCTAGAAGCTGCCATGATGTCTTTATCCTTAAGAACACATGTTCCTGTTTCACTTCATGCCTTTCCAAGGATAGCTACTAGGAGATGAGGGCTGCCGTCTGTGACCATGGCTGCTCACTCCATTACACAGGACCCTGTCTGAGGCTGGGTGAAGATACAATACAGTCCATTCTTCCACCAGGGCCATGATGGAGCAGGGGATATGCTGCCTAAAGATGAGGTTTTGCCACTTGGATCAGTTTAGAGGAGCCCTTCAGAATATTCCAGATAGAGTGTGCTGTGTTCTGCATAACCAGAGCAGGCAAAGAGGGGATGCTGAAGAACTGGGAGGGCAGCAACAGCAGTCTTCTGAAGAGGAAAATGAAGACATTGAGCAGGAGGAAAATCACCTTCAGCATGATGCAGTGATACAATGTCACCGAACAGAATTGCCACCCAGTTCTAGTAGATGCGAGTTGGGTGAAGTGATCGCTCATTGATGATAAAATCATTGCTGTAGGAAAGGCAATCAGTGCCATTTTATTCCTAGAAGCAAATGTGGATTTTTTTTTTTTTCTGTACTTCTTTCCCTTATCTTTTATTGAACACAGGCAAAGTGAATATTTTCAACTGTCGGAAGACTTTTCAGCATATGATGCTCCCACGCTGAAGATAATGAGATGGCATATTGGGCATTAGGGAAAGAAGAGCACTCCATTTAGACTTGGTTCTAACATAGAATAGTAATAAGGATGTGTTGCCTGTGTAACTTAATTTTTGTAGCTGCAGTTCCAATGACTGACAGACATTCAGTCAGCTGAAGATGTAAAAGTAGCTATTCATTTATGGATGTTTCTCCGATTTTTACGTTCAAGTGTCACCATGCCACCTCTGTTCCTTCGGAAGCTGTTCTTTTATGATTCCATCCCATTCTGTGTTCCGTGAAGTCTGTTTGTAACCAGCAGTGATCGACCTGCTGCATGGCTGGGCTTTGGGCTTTGAATGAGGTGCCAGCAACAGAAATCCTGGATGGTCCTGCCAGAGTCCTAGGGTCTTGGAGGTCTACAGCATGAAAACAGCCCTTCAGCCCAACTTACCCATGCTGCCTAGTTTTCACAATTTGAACAAGTCCCATTTGCCTGCGTTTGGTCCATATCCCTCTATACCTATCTCATCCATGTAGCTGTCTAAATGTTTCTTAAATGACAAAATTTACTTGATTCCACCACTACCTTTGGCAGCCTGTTCCAGACACTCACCATCCTCTGTGTGAAAAATTCGCCCCTCTGGACCCTTTTGAATCTCTCCTCAACTTAAACCGATGTCTCCTACCATGGGGAAAAGCTGTCTGCTATCTACCTTATCTATGCCTCTCATGATTCTATGTATCTCTATAAGGTCACCCCTCAGTCTCCTGCACTCCAGGAATAAGGGTCCCAGCCTATGCAACCTCTCCCCATAACACAAACCCCCTTCCAGTCCAGGTAGCATCCTTATAAATCTTTTCTGCACTCTTTCGAGTTTAATAGTATCCTTTCTATCGTAGGGCAACCAGAACTGCACGCAGTACTGCAAATGTGGCTATTAGTTCTGGCCTGTGGTGAGCGCACAATAGCACAAGTTCTGGGCCAAAGCAACATAGTGCATACATAGTGAGATGCGCAGTGGATAATTACATAATATAGCTTGATAGTGCTCACAAAGAGAAATGTTCCGTGAAGTTCCTCAAAATTGCCGCTTGTGCTGATTTTTGGTAAACCATACTCTAGTTCTGTACTATTACCTCGACTAAAATAATCACAGTATTTGTAATTCATTGTATGCGACACCATTGAGAATTTGGCATAGTGATAAATTGCTATATAAGTTCAAGTTAGTCCTTGCACCATCTGTATATCTAATAATTGAAATAAATATGAGAATCTTTACCATGAAGCTCTGTTGAATTGAATTTCAGTAGCCTTTGCTAAAGTTTAACTAATGCTTAGTTATTGTGCATTTCAGGAATATGTGGCATATAGTCACACAGGCCGTATTATACCTGCCATCTGGTTTCGATATGACCTCAGCCCAATCACTGTCAAATACGTTGAAAGACAACAGCCATTATACAGGTTTATTACAACAGTGAGTAAACACTTGTTAATTATGGTGCAATGAATGCTTGTTAGTACACTGTACAGTATGAATCAAAGTACATGGCATGACATAAATGTAAAGCAATAAGGCTAAGTTTAAAGTCAAAGTTCTGATAGTGTTGTGTGTTTTTCCTCCTGAGACCTTGGTATTGATTTTTTTTTATTGGGAACATCAGATTAATTTAACTTTTCAATTAATGAACTATGTATAGATATTTCGAAGTTAGCCAGTGTGCTCATGGTTATCCTATGGGTTAATTATTAATATTGTGATTTTCCAGTGCAGCATTTAAGGACTTCAAGATGGGTATTTCCCATGTGTCAAAGATTCTTAGTGTGGATTCTCCTCCAGCTTTAAGGTGGATTGCTTTCAAGATCCCTTTACCCCAGTATGGTTTGTTTTTAAAGTGTAGAGAAAGCCATTCTAAATTTTCAGATTTCTCATTGAATACAGTGAATTGTGGATAACAGGATCAAGCAAGCAAATCTGTAAAATTAGCATCTTGCACCTTAATGCTTTAATTATTAAAGCCTTGGCACAGTACATTCAATGTTTGCCTTTCATAACCATGTCTTGTTGGCTGAAATAAATTAATGTGAAAAGGGTTTGAACAGCACAGTTGATATTCAGCATAAAACTATCACAAATTTTGTTCCCTAATTTGAAATTCATTGTCTCAGAAGCCTGCTTCATTGCAGGAGAATCATTGCAGTGTTTATGTAGAAGTTGAGTGTAGTGAAAATTTTGCTCAGAGTCATAGAGTTGTATAGCACAGAAACAGACTCTTCAGTCCAACTCGTCCATGCTGACCAAATATCCTAACTTAATCTAGTCCCATTTGCCAGCATTTAGCCCATATTCCTCTAAACCCTTCCTATTCATGTACCCACCCAGCTGCTCTTTAAATGTTGTAATTGTACCAGCCTCCTCCTCTTCCTCTGGCAGCTCATTTCATACAGACGCCACCCTCTGTGTGAGATTGTTGCCCATGAGATATACCTTTTATATCTTTCCCTTCTCACCTTAAACCTATGCTGTCTAGTTTTGGACTCCTGTACCCTGGGAGAAAGACCTTGACTATTCACCCTATCCACGCCCTTCATAATTTTTATAAACTTCTATAAGGTTACCCCTCAGCTTCTGATGCTCCAGGGAAACTAGCCCCAGCCTATTCAGTCTCTTCCTATAGCTCAAATCCTCCAACCCTGGCAGCATCCTAATAAATCTTTTCTGCACTCTTTCAGGTTTCATGACATCTTTGCTATAGCAGGGAAACCAGAATTGAACACTATTCCAAAAGCGGCCTATATTCTCATCTAACTAAGCTATAACTATATCTTCCAGTGATTACTTCCGATAGCTGAGACTAGAATATTGCTACTGAGGTGGGTTCCAGCACTAGGAAATTAATGGTTTTGCAGACATGCTGTGGTTTAAACTACCTGCGAACATACAGTTTTCGCTTTGGGGCTGCATGTGTGGAATGTAGTCTGGCCAGCTGATCTCCAGAAACAGATCCATGGCTATAGGGGTGAATGAGTGCTTAGGCAGGCTGTTTAGATGGTCACCTTCAATTTTCTGGGACTTTATTCCATTTGTAATAGTAGGCCTTCTAAACTTGCTCCTCATGACTCATCCAACCACTCGCCATGGCCTTCATCTCAAATTTTACATCCTCCTCTCAGCCACATCCCATGTCCCCTCGTACCCTCCATGCCAGCTCAATGTTGATTCGTGTTCCGTCCATACCCATTCATCGGGTGTGTATAACTAATAAACCATATTATAAAATTGGCAAGTGTTTAACTACTGAGGAAAAAAAAAGACACCCATTCATCAATTTTCTTAATGAAGAAACTGTTGTTTGCACAACCCTTTGAAAGTGTCATTTTGACAAATCATTTAAACCTTCAATAAACAATATAACAGAAGCATCAAACACTTCACACCTCCTAATCATGTCCAAATAAACATTGAGATAAAAGAGAGCACAGAAGAACAACTTGTTATAACTGCTTGAAGATGTCAATCAAGTAAAGTAACAGAAAAAGGTTTCCTTTGTCAACGTACAGACTCCCTGGTGAGCCAATGTCTATTGACTGGACTCTCGGTCAAACATACATTACTGAGGACAGGCGAAAGTGAGAGCAGCTAATGGGGGAAGAGGACACGAGGAGGAAAGTGATGAGGGAAATGACATGGAGGGCAGAGACATGAGGTGGTGAAAGAAAGTGAGTGAGAGATTCAGGAAAGATGTGACAAGCATGACAGTTGGAAAATGAGGAATAGTTAACAAGCCACAGGAAAAGCAAATAATGGCAACATTTGGGCTCCAGGAACTGATATCGGTGAAGTTAGCTGCTAATGTCATTTGATTAATTGTGCCAGAGTTAGCTCTCTCCTGTTGATCTCCTGTCACGAGGCTGTCTGCCTGTTCTCTGCTTGAGGGCTAGAGTGACTATTAATCTTGCCTATCATGACGTGTATTATTGTTATCATTAAGTATGCACTGCTTGGTGGATTACTGAGATCCACACAGGCCTGCGGGTTAAACACTCCTTTGACCTCAGCGTTGGGACCCAGCCCAAAGGCGAAGAGCAAGGAGCAATTTAACATGGAACTTCTAAAGTGATGGACCAGCTTCATTGGGATGAAAGGGATCTCACCAAGATAAAATGGAACCAAAGTTCCACAGGGAAAACAGTATTAGAACAATGGGTAGTTTTTAAGGAATAAGTGTTTCTGGTACAGCCTAGGTATGTCAACAAGAGGAATAGTCAAGAAAACCAAATCCAGGGCTTGTTGGACGACAAGGGAGATAAATGATGTAAATGAAACAAAAACAAAAGGATAGGGGATACATCTTGGGTGAATTCCTCAGGAGAAACAGGCCAAATACACTAGGTTGAAGGGGGAAGTGAAGAGGAAAATGAGACTGACAACAAAAAGTAAAATGGCTGTGAACGTTGAATGGGACACCAAAATCATCATTTAGTATGTAAATAGTAAAGAGGTATTAAGAGGAGAGGAGGGACCTGTTTAGGACAGATAAGGTACTATATGATTAGAGACACAGGCAAGACTTAATTTGAGAGTACTTTAAGAATACTTAATGAGCACTTTGATCCACATTCTCTAATAGGGGCTGTGGATAAATCATTAATAGAAGGAGATGGTGGAGTGAAAATTAAGATGCAGGAAATACTGGAAAATCTAGCTATGCATAGAGAGTGGATAAATTGCTTGATCTGGATGATATACATCCCAGGTTGCTGAATGAAAGCTGGACGAGAGAGAGGAAAGGAATGGCCATAATTCTTCCATTTTAGCAGTTACAGTGGATTGGAGAGTGGCAAATGTGAAGCCCTACATCAAGAAAAGGTATAAGGAAATTCCTAGCAAGGTGTGGCCAGCTAATTTAATGTCATTAAAGATTTAGAAATGATAATCAGGAAAAATCAACAGGCTCTTGGAGCGAGGTCTGAGTTAATTCATCAGAGTAGCACTGATTTTTAAACTCACTGTTTGATGAATCTGATTTTTTTTTGTTGAAGTAATGGTGAAGGTTGATGATGGAAATGAAGTATAGATCGTTTTATCTATTTTAAGAAAGTTTTTGACAAAGTAACGCACTAAAGACTACTGAACAAATTCAGGCTTATTATTAAAGAAACGTCAGCATGCACTCTGATTTGGGGAAAGAAAAAGGCTTAAGGACAGAAAGCAATTGGTCACAATAAATTGCTGCTTTTCAGACTTGATGGTAGATCTATAAAAGATTTCAAAATTAGCTGATTTTTAAGGCGTAAGGTGTGGCAAATCATAGGGAGGTGCTAAACTACTACAATTGGGTAAAGATTGATTAACAGAACAACAAGTGGCAGAAAAGACTCATGATGCCTTTTGGCAAAAGGGATTAGTAATGGGCAATATATAATTAATGATTCAGTACAAAAGGGTATGACATAACAGAGGAATCTTTGCAAAGACCTTGAAAGATGACAAGACATATTGAGAGAGTCACTAATCAAACATGGAATTTTGGCCTTCACAAGCTGAAGTCTTGTGATGGTCTTGTGTTACTTTGGGTGGTGTCTGTGCCTTTGAACAGAAGCTGCACGCTCAAGTCAAATTCCAGGATTTGGTAGCCAAGGAAGATGCATTCATCACATAGTCAAGTAAGGTGAATACCAACTTTAAATCCTTCCAGCATGCGCCGATGGCAGGTTTAAGAGCAGGAGAGATTCCTGGTCAGACACCTGATGGAAAGAAACTGGATCTTCTACCGGCACTATTTCTAGCTCCAAGCTGCAGCAAGTGTGTAATAATCTGTGGTGTCAGAGCAATTCTGTCTTCTGAGAGGGTGGGGCAGTTGGATCAGGTAAAACCGGACTAGCTGGTGTGGACCAGATTAGTGCCAACACTATAGCCTCGATCCCTGTTCTGACTGGGGTTTTTCCTGTCCTTCCTCCTTGCCCAACCTATCGGGCTCAGGCACTATTAGTTAGACTTGTTTTCAGGCAGAGAACATGAGAAAAGGAAGCAGTGGAGGTAATGAATACAACAACAAAAATGTAAAATTCTGGTTATATCACAACTGTATTAGTGTGCGTACAGCTGGTTACCATATATGGTGAGATCGTAGTGGAGTGTACAAGAGATTTTCCAGAATGATTCCAGGGATGGGAAATTTTAGCTACAAGGTAAGGTATAGAAGGAAGCTAGGATTGTTCTTCCTGGAGCAAAGGACGGTGAGGGGAGACTTGTTTGAAGTGTACAAATTGATGTCACATTTAGACAAGTTAGACAAAGAAAACTGTTCCATTAGCTAATGGTGCAAGGACTAGGGACCACGGATCTGAAGTTCTTGTCAGGAAGTGCAGGTGGGATGTGAGGAAGAAGGTATTTACTAATCAAGTGTTACTATGCTCAAACTCACTTATGAGGTGAAAATAGAAATGATTTTTGATATCAAAAAGAAATTAGAT